CGGTGCACCAAGCCCTTGCTATGCATAAACGCCAGGGCCGTGCGCAGCTGATTCATCAGATTTGAAATCACGGTCGAGGTGGCCAGGTGGCGCGCCTTGCCAAGCCACTGCTGCAGATCCCCTTGTGTACACCATGGTTGTACCAGGTAGGCACTCGGGTGGCCTTCTTTCACGTCGACGAGCGCGCCAAGGACCGGAATGATGTGCGGGTGCTCAAGCTGGCGCATGGCACGAAGCTCACGCAGGAATGTACGGCACTGATCCTGTTTGTGTTGTCGAGCAAAAACATACTCCTTGACGGCCAAATCTTGTTCCTCAGATTCTGGTAGCGCGGCGCGGGCCTGGTACACCTTGTGATTTTGGTTGTAATGAAGATCAAGTTGGCCCAGGCTGGAGAGCGACAATGTGCGATCCACTTCGGTCATGGCCTCCAAGATCAGGCTGGCTGGAAGGTCGGGCCCAAGCACAGTGCGGAGGCGCGCTCCCAGCGTGCTTTGTTCAGGGTGCAAAAAGACCAGCAGCGCTGGAAAGTGCCGATGCAGCAGCTGGGCGAGCTCGGCGACGTGGTCCACGTGTGACTGATTTGATAATTGTTGACGCAAGGTGTCGCGTCGCGTTTCTAGCTTTTTGAGGTCCTGCTCGAGACCAGACCGAACAGCTTCAGGCAGATGTTGTAGAGCCGTGTGAAATCCTTGAATAGCGGTCTCCACCTTGGTTAGTTCCTCGTGGGCAGCAGCCGATTCATCATCGACGTCTTGAGTCAAGCTGTTCACATGACCCATGCACGAGGTCAACACGGAGAGCGTCGTGGCCTGCCAGTCGATCATGTCTTGCAACTGCTGCATCAGGGCTTGCACCTCGTGAAGCGCAAACGCCAGATACCAGTCTTGATGCTCATAGTCGTGCTCAACTCTCCAGGTTATCAGCTGCTCCAGGCCGTTTTGCTCGGGCAAGCTCAGCTTTTCGTGGGCTTGGCACAGCTCCTCCCAGGCCTCGGGCAATGCCTCGGCTGGAGGTGGTGCACTCACATCCAAGCCTTCCACACGCTGCTCTAGTGTGTCCACGCGATGGTCCGTGTCGGTGGTTCCCGCTCTTGCCACAGCACGCAGGGCAGTAATCAGCTTCAGCACTAGCTGCTCGAGGTTGCTGTTGGCGTTGGTGAGCAATCGTTGGCGCTCAAGTCCCACGTCGCGTAGCATGACGAGTTTATCCAGGACTGCTGCAAGGTCGGTTGGCATTGCCTCTTGGTTTGGTCCAATTGCCTGCATTCCGCTGGCATCCTTGGAGCTGGGACTTGGTTTGTGACGCTTAGAAGGCGGCGTGCCATTTGTTGCGGGTGGCGCCCGGGGCATATTCAACTTCTTGCCCAAGTCACTGGAACATTGCTGCAAGGCACTCAACACCGTCTGCAACGAAAACTGCTTTGCGATATCGTGCAGCTCTTGCAGCACTGATTCTAGGTTGTCAGTGTTGGGGTCCAATTGACTCAAGCGGTTGTTCAACGCTTCGGGCGCTGCCAGTGCCTGGTCGAGCGCGCCGAGGGCCCGGGTGGTGGTCGCCTGGAAGGCAGCCCAGTCCATGGCAGGAAACTCTGGTGGCGCTTCGTCGATGGTCCTCTGGATGTCCGCAACTGCCGTTGCAAGATTGGGGCTTTGTTTGGCGGCACCGCTGATAAAGGCATCGAGGTGGGGGAGGGGATGGGTGGTGGTGTGCTCCGGCAGGAGTGGCCTGAGCCAGGTATCCACTGCCACCACAACAGAGGCCGTAGTCTAATGGAGGGTTGTGTGGTGCCATTGGTCGTGATTAGGTTGGACGAGGCCGTGGGGATTGGGGCAATAAATGCATTGGGGAAAACAAGATGGGGGAGAAGGCTCACCTCGAGGGTGGGGGTGGTGGGCAGAGACGGCAGCCAGGCGGGAGGCGATGCAGGCGTGGGCGGAGCGAGGGGTGCGGGTGGTTGTGATAGGCGAGCCTCGTGGGCAGCAAACACGGGCTCCAGCTTGTCGCCATGCCCGCGTTGACGTCCAAGATCAAGGGGCGTTCTGCCACTCTGAGAACATGTGATTGGAGCGTGTGAGGTGGGCAGCGACGTGAGGGCTGAGTTGGGCGACGTGCATTTGCTTTCTCATAACAAAGGCGAGGTGACAATGCTTTGAAGTGGGCTGAAGACGCCAGACACGCGAGTGGTGTGCAAATGGTGCGGGCAGGTAGCAGGGGTGTCCGAACGGAGGCGTGCTTGGAGAGAGGAAAAAAAAAAAAAAGGGCGCGTGTGCCGGGGGCAAAAGTCAAGGCACGGCCACCGAAAGCCGCTTGGGCGAGCGAGGGAGGCAGAGGCGTGATGGCAAGGGGTTGGGGATGGATCAGAAAAAGGGGAGAGCGAGGACGGCAGGCGGAAGAGACCAGCGGGGCGCGGGGAGCACTGACAAAGCGCGGAAGAAAAAAGGGGGGAAGAAGAGGGATAGCGGGAAAGAAGAAAAGGAGCCAGGGGGGAGAACGGACGCGCACGCGTGGGCAGGGTGTAGCGGAGAGGAGGGACGGGGGCAAAGGCGACGGGGCAGCGGGAGCAGGTGCAGCAGTCATAGGGGGGTAAAGGGGGGAAGAGGGAGGTACTGTACTGACGTCGTTCTTGGCTTCAGTATCAACATCGCGCTTCAACAGCATCTCCACCACCTTGTCATGACCGTTATAGCAGGCCTCGTGCAGTGGTGTACTGCCAAACTGTGGGATGATGCATCAGCATGACGTACAGGTACAGCATCATCATCATCAGCATGGGGTACAGGTGCAGCATCATAGGGGGGTAAAGGGGGAGAAGAGGGAGGTACTGTACTGACGTAGTTCTTGGCTTTAGCATCAGCACCGTGCTTCAACAGCATCTCCACCACCTTGACATGACCGTTATCGCAAGCAAAGTGCAGTGGTGTATCGCCATCCTGTCGGATGATGCATCAGCATGACGTACAGGTACAGCATCATCATCATCATCAGCATCATCATCATCATGGGGTACAGGTGTACCATCATAGGGGGGTAAAGGGGGGAAGGGGGAGGTACTGTACTGACCTTGTTCTTGGCTTTAGCATCAGCACCGTGCTTCAACAGCATCTCCACCACCTTGTCATGACCCTTAAAGCAGGCATTGTGCAGTGGTGTATAGCCACTCTGTGGGATGATGCATCAGCATGACGTACAGGTACAGCATCGTCATAATCATCAGCATCATCATCATCATGGGGTACGGGTGCAGCATCATAGGGGGGTTAAAGGGGGGAAGAGGGAGGTACTGTACTGACGTTTTTCTTGGCTTCAGCATCAGCACCGTACTGCAACAGCATCTCCACCACCTTGACATGACCGTTATCACAGGCCCAGTGCAGTGGTGTCCAGCCAAGCTGTGGGATGATGCAAACATGCAGTATATGTCCCATGTTATACCATAACGTCACCCCATCCAGTGACATTTTCAAAGTGTAACCAATATCACACAGCATCATACCAAACAGCATACGTACGAAACCATCTTTGAATTGGGCAGCACGTCGAATGCGTTGTTGGTCCCAACTGGTCAACAGCTGCAGCGCCCTTTGTGGATCTGGTGAATAACACGCATCCCACAGCTGATCACTCATGGTAACGGTATCTCTCTCTATTCACCATCCGCTTCAAACCGCTTTGCTTGCTTCTCTATCCACCATCAATCTCATGAGCCCCCTCCAAGTACAACTCGTCTGACAACCCAGAATTCGGACTGGGATTCGACAGGCGCGCGCCGTTTCCAAAACGGCAGCCAGTCAGCGGGTCTTTGCTCTTCTCTGTCTGATGCACCAAACGACTCACCTTTGGCCAGTAGTTCTCGATGACAGTTGCGAGGACGGGTGGACTTGATTGCCCAAGCGCACGTTGTCGACTGCGAGGCGAGATCAGTGGCCTCACAGAAAGCAAGAAATGCTTTTAATCAAAACTTTCTGGCGTCGCCGCAAGGCCCCGACCAGGAGAGTCTCGTACCAAGCACAAGTGATCACTCACCACACACACACACACACACACACACACACACACAAAGCAAGACACATCAAGCAGCCCGCCGATGCCGATACCGATACCGACACCGCTGCCAAAAAAGGGCACCACCACCAAGAAGAAGAAGAAGAAGAAGAAGAAGAAGAAGAAGACGAAGTCAAAAGCAAAAGCAAAAGCTTTAACTGACCAAAAGGAAGGAAAATGCAAGCAACAACACACACACACACACACACAACACACACACACAACACACACACACACACACACACGTTTACACCTTTTTCTTCTTCTTTTTCAATTTTTACTTTCGAAGAAGAAGAAATGCCACAGTGATAAAAGCAAATTCATTGGGTCCTGGCCCGGGCTCACGAGTGAAAAGGACGGTTTGCACCGGTCAATCGGATCGCCACGCCCAACGTACCTGCCAATCTATTGGCTCGGCTGATCGAGCCCCCGCGTATTTCTTTTTTCTGCGCACCAACCACACCCATAGAGAGTGTGATTCGTCTCTGTCACTGTCTCTCTCTTCTTTCTTGCTAGCTCAGTCTCTCTCAAACTCTCTCTCAAACTCTCTCAAACTCCCAAACGTGAGCGACCATTCCTGACGACAAGCTTTAGGTTCATTGCCATGGCGGTCATTGGGATGATGCTCGTTCCCTTTGAAACGCGCGTTGCCTTCTGGAGCATCGCAACCGTAACCTTCACAAACCGAACTATCTCCTGCAGTAACTTATATTCTTATTACTAGCAGAAATACATTAACTTCTCGTATATCGAAATGAACTGTTAAAAGAAGAGTAAAAACCGAGGTGCATTCAACCTCCACAAACTCAGGTTTCCCCTGCAGCAACTTGTATATCTACGCATAATACAACTACATTAACTTCACAGATATCGACATAAACTCCTCAACGATAGAAATGTAAAATAAGAGGGTGTGTTCAATATTGCGAGGTTCGGGGCAGCAAGGGCAGCGGGTGATGGGACTGTGGAAGGGCAGCGGGTGTCGGGACTCTGTGTGTGTGTGTGTGTGTGTGTGTGTGTGTGTGTGTGTGTGTGTGTGTGTGTGTGTGTGTGTGTGTGTGTGTGTGTGTGTGTGTGTGTGTGTGTGTGTGTGTGTGTGTGTGTGTGTGTGTGTGTGTGTGTGTGTGTGTGTGTGTGTGTGTGTGTGTGTGTCGAGGAGGCAGGAAGATGGACCTGATTCCCGCGACCGACTCTTGACGTCCTCTTGATGTTTCATGTTGTGTCTTCAGGCCACCTTGGCACTGGCTGCTGCCCAGGATCCTGCCGAGGGCTGGATGGGCTACGCCAAGGGCGTGTCGCCCCGTGGCACCGTAAGCCACACTGCGACCTTGCCATTTGAAACTTGTCTGCTGCCCTGATGCCAACTCTGCATACCCTCATATCCTTTTCGTGAACAGGGTGTGTTCACCCATGCCGAGGCCAAGTGGAAGGCTTTGAGCAAGCCAAACAACGCTGCCAATGCCTTCTATTCCCCCTGGTTTGGCATCGAGAGCTCAGACAACCTCAACCTCATCCAGCCCGTGAACCCTTGGACTGGCCGCGCTTGGTAAGCACCTCCGGCCCCTTCTTCTTCGATTCCATACCCGACGCCCCGCTTCTCAAGTGTCTGTGAGACAAGAACAACAAAAAACCCCGATCATGGGAACAACCAAAGACAAAAATTTTGGAGATCACGAGCGTCATCGGCACTCACCTGCCCAATCACTTGCGCGCACGTTTATAGGCAAATGTACATCGAGTGTATGTGAACGCAAATGGAATGTGGAATGGATACCGACCTTGTAGACGTTGCCGTCCCGGCCATACACTCACCGATACTTGCCGCACGCTTCCTCGGATTTCCAGTGGGAACCCGAGCATAACGAGAACAGCCAGGGCCATATCGTGTCCGCTGGCGATGTGCTCCACGGTGTCATCGACCTGGACCAGAGCAGCCAGACCTACATCATCTCGCACACCAACCTGAACACGGGCTGGAACGTGAAGGTCTGTCCCTGTGGCCACTGCACCCCGTGCGCTGGGTCCCACCCCTCGATACAACACTGATTCGGCGCTTTTCTGGCTTGCATCACGCACAGACGCAAATTCCGGTTCAGCGCAAGCTGTCAGGCAAATACAAGGAGTACACCATCCTGTACTTTGTCTTTGAGAAGACCTTTGCCTGCCACCAATACCCCGCCGAGGAGGTTGTCACCTTTTACGACATTGCCGTTCAATACGACAACCAGACGGTCCGTACGCTCAAGGGCAGCTATGATCCGTCCCTTTCTGGATCGCCGTGTCGGCTCCCGCTCAAACTTCCCCGCTTATCGAAACACACTGGCAGGTCGCCCCCACTTGGACGACTGCGTATGTCGATGACAACTGCAACAACCGCGCCCATATCCTCAACGAGTTGGTAGCCCACCCAACTGCTGTGCCCCGGCTTCTCACACGCAACGTGCAATTTGACCAATGTCTCACTCTGCCTTGATGCATCTTGCTTGGAACTACCTCCATGTAAATGCGTGTCTATATCAGACGCTGGCCTTCAGCAACACAGGGGCCGGCTGCGTACGACACACCCCATGCCCCTCCTCCCCCCCTTTCTTTTTTCTTTTTTGCGCTGACTGCGGCTTTCAAAGTGGGCAAGTCTCCCTTGCGATACACAATTCAACACCTAGAGGTGCAGTTTTGTTGGCATGTACCTGTACATGTTGCTGCTGTGCTGCCAGTACACTCGACAAAGCAATCCAACACCATCTTTTCGACCCCCCACCCCGATTTATGACACATCTGCTTGTCCTTCTTTTTGCAATTCTGCCTGACATTGTTTTTACACCCAAAATCAGAATAAAATCACACCCACACCACCACCAAGACCCAGTTGCAAGATCGTGGACACGCTGTGCAATTCTTCACCATCACCACCATTAACGCCCTCATCGGGGGTTGCTCCAGAGATTGGAAAGACGTCGCACACGGACGTGGTGCAATACACTTGGCGTTTGCCCTTTGTCGTTTTCCGTTTGTCGTTTGTGACCCTCAGCGGGCAGAGCGCGTGCGGAGTCGGGTTGGCAACTGGGATTAAATTAAACCCGGCAGCATG